TGAATCTACAGCTGTTATTAATAACGCTTTGAAAACGTGTACCAATCAACTAGTTGAGCAAAAGTTTGTTTCTTTGAAAAACTCGAACAGCTGGTACAATTTGGATCTTTTGCGTCTTAAACGGAAAAGGGACAAATTGTACAAAAAGTTTTGTAGATCTAATAATGAAAATCATTGGACTAGGTACACAATCGCGCGTAATGAGTATTCACAATCGATAAAGAAAACTCGTTGTGAATATGTTCAAAGGAAGATTGATCAGCATCAAAACAACAGCAAAGAGTTATGGAAAATTTTGAAATCTTTATTAAAACCTAGTAATTGCAAACCGCGGTCCATAACTTTTAATGGCACATTAGAACAGTCAGAACAAGTAATTGCTGCTAAGTTTAATGATTATTTCGTAGATAGCGTTTCATTGATTAATCAATCTATTGAATTGGTCGATGAACCTGACGAAATAAAACAGCCAGTTAATAGTAGTTGTAGATTTGAAGTTTTTCACCCAATCACATTAGATGAACTTAGAGTTATTTGTTTTTCATTAGGAAAATCGGCTGGAGTAGATAATGTTAATGCTAGAGTTATTCAAGATTGCTTTCATGTCATTGGCCACATCTTGCTGGACCTTATTAATGAATCATTACAAACTGGACATGTGCCACAAATTTGGAAGGAATCCTTAGTGGTCCCTATTCAAAAAGTTGCTGGAACGATTAAAGCCGAAGAGTTTCGTCCCATCAACATGTTGCACACATTAGAGAAAATTTTAGAACTTGTTGTTAAAGGCCAGCTGTTGGAGTATTTAAATAGTAATAGTTTGTTGATACCAGAACAATCGGGATATCGGGAAGGTCATTCTTGTGAAACCGCGTTGAATTTGGTATTAGCGAAGTGGAAAAATAACTTGAAGTGTAAAGATACGATTGTTGCTGTTTTTTTGGATCTTAAACGCACTTTTGAAACAATTTCTAGGCCCTTATTGTTAAGATCAATCAAGCGCTTTGGAATTACGAGTACTGCATATAAATGGTTTGAAAGCTACTTGTCTGACAGAACTCAACGGACTGTTTTTAATGATTCTGTTTCCAGTCCCGTGGGGAATACCCTTGGAGTGCCCCAGGGAAGTGTATTAGGTCCCCTGTTATTTATTATGTATATTAATGACTTGCGACGTGTTTTACGATTTTGCGACATTAATCTTTTTGCAGATGATACTGTGTTATTCATTGCAGCTAAGGATTTAGATGATGCCGTTTTACACTTGAATGAAGATTTGCGTTCTCTAAGTAGATGGTTGAAGTATAAGCAGTTAAAATTGAATACAAGTAAAACTAAATTTATGGTAATTTCGCGGAATCGAGTAAATGAGAACGTCTCTGTTGTAATTGATGATGAGACTATTGATCGCGTTTGGGAGATTAAATATCTTGGCGTGATTATTGATGACACACTTAAGTTCAACTCTCACATTGACAATGTCATCAAGAAAATTGCCAAGAAGTATGGAATTCTATGTCGACTGAAAAACGATTTAACTATTGCCAGTAAAATACAGCTATACAAATCAATCATCTCTCCTCATCTTGACTTTTGCCCTTTCATTTTATTTCTGGCCAATGCAACACAAATATCGAGATTACAGCGCTTGCAGAATAAAATAATGCGTTTGATTTTGAGATGTAATAGATTCACTTCCTCAACTTTGATGTTAGACGCCTTACAATGGTTGTCGGTGAAGCAAAGAATTGTATATTTGACTATGGTGTTCATTTTTAAAGTAGTTAACGGTTTGCTGCCTCGATATTTGTGTGATCGAATTGAAAGAGGAAGTGACTTTCATAGATATAATACTAGAAACGCGGTTGAAATAAGAACACCACATTTCTTGACTTGTGCTTCACAAAATTCATTATATTATAAAGGAATAAATGTTTTCAATTCGATGCCTAGACATATCAAACGTTTAGCAACACTTACAGAATTTAAAAGCAACTGTAAACTTTAGAGGGAATCTATATCTGTAACTGAAACCAGTTCGATTTTGTTTGCCAACCTGGTTAAAATGTCATACTCAATTATCTTAAAGATAAATCGTCCAGCTCAAACCTTTGTAGGGGTCAGAGGTGGGACCATCATCATCATCTTAACTTTGTTTTCCAAGCTAATGGTTTCTAAAGGAATTGTTTTGTTCCAATCTTTCACTTTCCAAAATTAAAACCTTGTTACTCATTCAGCTCAATGGCGTTCACCATAGCAGCCTTCGTTTAATTTCCATTATTTGGTAACTCGGAAAACTTCTTAAGTCTTAATGAGACTTTGGAAATCTTTTGAGATCTTGAACTTCAATATATCAACTTTTTTTATTATTATGGTCACTTGGGTCATTTGTGACTTGTCCGGGGGTGAGATTTGAACTCATGACTTTGGCGTGATGGATGTTAACGACTACGTCGGGGTCGCCTCCAAATATCAACTTGTTTTATAGCAAACATATTTTACATGATTCGTGAACTAAAATATTTTGTTTCAAGATAATAAAAAATGTTTTATTATTGATACAATGAATTTCGTGGAAAGTCGCTACACATAAACTTTTTGAATTCGACCCTTAAATTGTCACCCTAAGCCGTTGTCGCTACCCCCTCACTGTGACCCGCACTTTACGTAGAAATTATCAATATAGCCTGCCATATGCTTTCAGCTGAACATCACTGCTGTAGTTTATCAAAGCTGACTAGTATGTAAATATGAAAATTGAACTTTGCTGCTATTTCCCGCTCAGCACTGTACGAACAAACTTTGTGAACAGTAATTAATTAATGGTTAGTGTTAACGTGTGTTATTAAAATATGCGTATACAATGAGACTTTATTTAATTCTCCGGTGAAGATTTGAATGGTTGTCCTATTAACGTTATACAATTAACGATTTCTAGCTTTACATGTTGTACTTGTGTACCAAGTACACGTGTTACCAAATCCTATGAAAATCGTTTTATTAAATTAACATTTTCCTCAGTAAAGCACTTGCTTCTACTACGTGGGTAACTACGTTTGTCTATCGCAGGAAAATTTCTCAAATTACGTCACGTTGCAAGTAGGTTCATTAAAGCAACCAGTTGTTGCTGCTCTCGACACTGCGTAGGAGGAGAGAATGATGGAGTATTAGCTTTATAAGCCCTGCTCCACGTAAACAGAGCGCTCCTCAGAGCTTTTAAACGGAATGTTTACAAACTGGTGTCTTCCTGCACGCTTCAGGAATGCTAATCATGATCAGTCTCAGTCGCATCTCGCCATACAAGTAAGTTACGGCGCAGTAGTCGACCAGAATCTGCCGTTTTATGTTTTTCACTTCGGCTGCTCCCGATCTCTCGGATGTTTTCGACGATGGTGATTGTATGAAATATCACGCTGAGAGAGCTTTTTGTATTATTTGTTCATTCGCTGTTTAGCATACATAAAAAGAAAACTGGTTTTGGCATACATGCATGTGATCAGAATTTATAACGCAGGAGTGCAGAGTTGAAACTTTGGCAGTGTAGGCGATACCTTTCTAAGTCGTTTATCATTTCACCTCTTATTGTTAGGTTTAAGTAGTACCCCAACTAGAATGTTGCAGTGAAAGGTCGCTTGGGCAAAAGAAAAAGCAATATTCATCATCTTTTTATTCTCTTTCCCTTGGCCGTGGCACATTCAATTTCAACGCGGAGTCAGAAGAGAGAACCAGAGAACGAGCAAAGAGAAAATCATTGCTTGGAAACGGATATGGATGATGGGGATCTCTTCGTTTTTCTTTGTAGTATGGGAGGATCTAGCAGTTGTTCTTGTCCGAGGCACGTTTAGTAGTTTATGGATAACATGTTTGAAAAGAAATATTGGTTTTCATGTCAACAATTAACATTGTTTGGGTGAATTCCTGTAGGTACAAATGTCACTCATAAATCATAAAAGCGCTTGCATGAAACAGTTCATAGGTGAGCTTTTGACATGTATTGTGGATAAATGTTTGTTTAGATGTTGTACAGAATCAAACCAACAATGCACCAGTTATGGCAAAATCCCATATACACAATGGGACCAGTTATGGAATCACCTAATACAAATTTAATTGATAAAGGGTTATCGTTTTACAAAAATGGACAACCAAACTGCAAATAAAGTTCATACATAAATGTTTCACTGGGAATTACTTTTGAAATCAAAATAACTGTATAAAGTGCTGAAGTGTGCACAAGATTTACTAAACATTGCAATATATGAGTAGGCTGTAATTAATGACGACACACACATTATACGGAGAAAAAAATCATTGGCACGCATAAGATATTGACTTTTCAATCATTTATAGAAAGTTGTAATGAGGAAACCCTAATAAAAAAAATACCATAAACGAACGATAACCTAAGCGATTGAACTATTCCACAAAAGGTTTGGATGATACCTCGAACACGACGGTTAGCAAAATAACCATAACAATTTTATTAGGGAAGGTAACGACGATTTTCTCCACCAACAACAAAGCACGATGGAGCAGCATGGCGAATTGTATTCTCAACATGAAGCATAAACCATTTATGCTTCAAAATGACAGCTTATGTATTTAACCACGTGCATAACGCACACCAACCATCATTGTCAATTATCCGAATGAATACTCATCGTCCCCAAGCAGCACATCCGCTTTCTAACAAGGATAAGCGGTGTCCTTTCGGCCGTCGTAAAGTAGGGCTCCATCACTAAACGCATCTTCCGCATTTGTGGCAGTGTCCAAATGGAAATCAACACCCAAACACAAGCTCACAATGGTATCGCGAGGCGCCTGTACTACACGTCATTCTCGGTAGTATCGGTGGCCTGTGGCCCGTATACGTACACGGATTCTCTCTACCGCTCTCTCGCGTGCCATTCCCACTCGCACTCACACCAAGGGAAAATGTGAAAACGTCATTTAATACAAAATTTGCTCGGCAACATTGGCGTAGTGTTAAATGAGCGTTCTGTTGGTATAGAGATCGCTCTCTGCGGCTCAGCAGCACAGCTAAATCGTCCAAGCAATTTTCGTTTCTGTTTTGTTGGATGGATTTCTGTACTACAAATTTCGGTTCGAACAAATTGGATATTCGAGTTAGTATTTTTTTATTACGTTCGCTTGTTCATCTTTTTTTTCCGAATACTTGGCTCTCGGGGTTTGTGCTGACGGCGATGAGATTTTTTCTTATATACATGTACCGTGCGTTGTTTGCATGTACATAAGCCAAGTTCGAGTCCGGGAGAGTGTGAGAGACGATCGCGTCGCGGTGGCTTAGGGTGTGAGAGAGTGTTACGGGCCAAAGGCAGCAGCAGCAACAGTGGCCAAAGCCAGCAGCACCTATTGTACATAGAGTATATCGGTATGTACAATTTTTGTGTATTTAGAGGAAGAAAACAGAACATAAGCGAAGGAAACCGAAATAACTGTTCCCCATTTGCTTGGAAAAGCGTGTGGAAACTAGAAACCAATAGTTGCTACACTAAATTACCTGTCGAGGAGCAGTAGGATTTTTCACTAGGAATGCTACGATCAAATTGCGTATTGTTTTCGCAATGTTGTTGTTTTTTCGAGGACGAATGATAATTAAGTATCCTTAAAATGGTGATTCAACTTAAATTTAATCATGATTGCGTCCTTTTGTACAGACACAAAACAACAAGCCAAAGATATTTCCGTTTATTGCCAATTCTATGTTTACCTTTTCTTATCCTATTTTCCAGCGTTTGTTATGTAATGTTATCTATGCCCGTTTCCTTTTCGTGTATTTTTCTTGAAAGTTTTATTGCGATTCTTGCTATTAGTTTCTCTCCCCCGTTCCCTTTTCGTTTGTATGGGTAAGCTCTACGTCGGCTAGTGTATCGCAATTCATCGTGCTTATTTACCACTGAGCCGTGTGTCATGTCATTAATGCCTCCATGTACTCATAGTAGACATGCTTTTTAGTATACACCGCAGAGAGCCAACCGTACTGTGTTGGCACTTGTCTGTAGGTACCTACGATTTATTTTGATGTGTTACAAACAGAGTCATGGTTGACCGAGAAAATTTTCATTTTCAAAAGGTGGTAGCCCTGTTTCTGAGAGCGTTCGTATTGCATTTGGACTCCTGCGTTCCGTTGGTAGTACTGAAGCTCGGTTTGCTGAGATGTCCGCTCTTACAATATTAGGATTAATGTAGATCGGTTGGTCTTTGAGCGAAGTGATTGGGCTTTCCTACCAGTTCATTATTGCTTTAGCATAGTACTTGAAAGCGTCTCGAGGAAAGAGAGCCACTGCGCTACTTACTTGCTATGCTTTCACGATGCTGCTGCTTCCTAAGCAAGTTTGTCAGAACGGGTATATTTTCCCGATTACATTGAGCATGTGTTGAGGAGTGGTTTTCTTCGTGTTGTGCGCGTGAGAGTCACGTCCGCCGTTTGTCGAGGTCGTTTGTATGGATGTGGAGCATACTTCATTCTTGTAAACTGTCGTCTCTTTTTTCTCGTTGCACATTTTTCATCCAGGTTGTTTTCTTTTCTCGTTCTGGGCTGATGCAGCGGCAGATGATCATGATGCATCCGTATGTGCAGTCTTTGTTTTTTGTCGTGTGTATTTTTCCTTTCATTATGTTGTGCTGGCCCAGGCAGCCATTCACAATCGCGCAAGGATATTTTGGCTTTTCTTTCCTATCCACGGCTAAATAGTGAAGTTGCTTTCGAAGTAGATTATAGGTATTTGGATTATCAAGTATAAATCTAAACAAAAACTATTCAACAGAGGAAAATTCAATTAATGGAAATGCATTCATGCTTTTATTTTTTTTTATTTTCAATTTTCTAATCGTCTGATAGTCTTGATTTTGAAAGTATGTTTCAAAACAGATATATCGGATTTGGTTTCAAAATCCAAATCCTTGATTTAAATTTGGCTTAGGTCCGCAATCTTCAATGCTAATATTTCTGTATCACCTTGATAATTCCCTCCATTAGAATCGTCCTCGGAATCGGTCTTTTCAGATTTTCAAATCCCCTTGAAAAATAACTATGTAATATGAATAATTATTTTATTTTCTTATTGTCAGCAATAATATGTAGACCGTTTTGTTACATGCATAATTATCTTGCATTTCGTCTCAGAAGATTATCGCTCCGAAAAAAAAAATTACGTTTTGATTTTTCCTAAAATAAAAAAAAAATCACATTTTTTCTAATTTTTCAAAGAAAATTCACGAGCAAAAATATTTTTTGCAAGTCATTATGGCATAAAATTGGACTTTTCGGTTTTGATGAGGGTCCATTTTTTTCATGATGAGATAAAAAAAATTTTACATGTAAATTTTCTCAGGAATCTAAGGAAAAAACATATTGGATTTTTGATAATCTTTCCCAATACTTTTTAGAAAAATAAAAACGTGCCGAAAAAAGTTAATCTCGGGGCGGTAAACTTCCCTTGAAGTTGAAAGTGAACCAGTGAATATATAAAAAATTCAAAAATTGTTTTCTCTGAGACAACACTTGGGGAAAAGCTCTTGCCGTTTTATGCTAAATAAAAAAAAAAAAACATCGATGAGAGCGTTTTGTAATCTGAAGTCAGAAAATCAGAGAAAACCATGTTCGAAATTTTTATTTACTCTCTAGGCCACTTTCGCCACTGGAATTTTCTTTTGTAGTTTACATCATTTTTTTAACGAAATAATTTTTTACTGAAAATTATAGAACAAATTTTTCGAAATGTCTTCGCAGAACGATTTTGTAATAGATTTATTAATTGGATTTTTTGTCCCAGCCTGTAAAGTTACCCCGCCAAAATACGGACTTGGGCAGTGGAAGGTTAATCATGTGAATAAAAATATATTATTTTAAATTATATATGCTATAAATTATAAAAAATGTGTGCCTTTATAACCTTTATTATGTGATAAGTAAGTTTTTAAAAATAAATTCAATTGGTTTAACGTCTGGAATTACAGTAAGATAAAAACTATAAAAAAAACTTCGCATAAAGTCAAGACAACCAGTTATTTTTTATTCTTGTTGTGCTTATTTTCCCTGCCTTCAGTTATTGGATCTATGGTGGAGACTTGTTGTTCTTTTTATGGTTGAATATATTTGATACATAAAACAGCAAAAGGGTTTATCTTCCATTTAATTCCACTTAATTAATTTTTGTATCCATGACAGATACGTATTTCGACTACAATGTGCAGTCTTCATCAGTGTCATTCCCACACTGATGAAGACTGCACATTGTAGTCGAAATACGTATCTGTCATGGATACAAAAATTAATTAAGTGGAATTAAATGGAAGATAAACCCTTTTGCTGTTTTATTTAGCATTCCGCTAACAACCCAATTTCATTACTTCATATTTGATACAAAAAAAATATCCAAGGGTAATATCTGGGATTTTTACTAAGCATAGTTAAGTCATGTCAAGTCCTAGATATAGAAATCTCACTTTCCCATATTAATTCTAATGGCACATTCGATCTTATGAAGGTAACTCGGTAGTATTAGACCAAATATAACAACACTGGTTAAACAATGTATTTAAAGCGTAAACCATCGAAGTCTACGATCTACAGGGCTGTTACAACACTGGATTCTTCCAAATTCTTTCAAGATTTCACCATTAGGAAGAGGGTACTTTTCTCGTCATTTTGACATTATTACATAACATTTCCATCACATTTGTTTTTTGATATTTTCCATACAAAATACTGAGAGAAAAGTGAGAAGTAAACGTTCGAATTTGCCCATATTTTGTATGAAAAAGTGCCCCCGATGAAATACCCTCCCCTTGACTAGTTTTTGCACCTTGTTGCTGGTGGCCGGGCTTAATTTCATGCTTTATAGTAGAGTGTTGGAGACGGTAGGTTTATGGCCGGCGTTGCTTGCTCATGCCGCGATAGAATGGCGCCATGGGCAGGCGATGGGGACTACTGAGCTTTCCCTCTCTGATGAACCACTGCATGAGAGAACCAAAGATCTAGTCTTGCAGTGACAGTATTACACTTGATACTCCTTTGTTTGAAAGCCGCGTTCTAGTACGCTAACGTATAGGCACTGAACGTTGGGTGGGATACTGATGGGTTTTCCGCATATCACTCTTATTTTATTTATTTTTACGCAGATAGATTTATTTGGGTTTGCAAGGGACTTATACTATTGAAATATTTCAGAAAGTGCCCAACAGTGCTCCTTCTATTTGCGTGACAAGCTTTCATTGTTGTTTTCATTGAAGTATTAGTCATGGAACAATGTTAAACACCATTTTTGTATATGGTATTCAGTGTTGGAAAAGTTCACCAAAACTCACTATGACTCGCGAACTTTTCCCTTGGTGAACTTCGTGAAATATCGCGATCTTTTCCAACGCTGATGGTATTGTAACTAATCTTATATGTGCTTCATTTTGATTTGGCATAAGTGTTTACACTATGGATCGGGATTTCCACTTTGGCGTGCTTCTATTGTGACATACCCATACGTATTTTTGCGGTGCGACATAGCGGAAGCGTGTGAGCATAGTTGGAGAATATACCCTTTATAATTAAAAAATCAGCTAGGAAACTTACTACAAAGTGAAGCATTTAAGTCACTTGAAGGTGTCCCCTGGGACACTAAGATATAATAAATAAAGGTGAAAGTCAAAAGTACTTGAAACACGTTTAATTTAGATTACAAGCACAAGTGCAGGTACTTAATAAAACATGGGTTATGATTGATTAGAGATTTCAATTATATATTAAATTAAACTAATGAGATATCATAATCATCAAAAAAAACTTAAATAAGATAATTCAGAAAGTCTAATAACATTAAGTAAATTAACAAAAGAATTAGGATGCGGGGAGTCCGCTTAGGGAGGCAACTAACCTTTAAAATTGTAGAATAAATCTTCTTATTTAAACTTGAACAGGGATGGAAAATCATTTACATTCATTTCGTACATTCATTTACATTCATTTGCCTCTAACTTTTTTCATCAACAGAATTCCGTAAAATAGCACTTGAAACTTTTGTAGGCTTTGATATTAGCTACATATTTTGTCAACAACTCAAATCTGTATCTCTTATGCATGATGAATCAGAGCGATAAAAACCCACCAATGTTTTTCAGTGAATGTAAATTGCATTCACTGAAAAACAATAACATGTTCTGCCTGCTCTATTTCGTCATACATAAGAGATTCAGATTACAATTATTAACAAAAGTTGTAGTTAATATCAAAAGCTACAAATGCTTTATACATAATTTTACGGTATTCTGTTGATGAAAAAGTTAGAAGCATATGAATGTAAATGAATGCACGAAATGAATGTAAATGATTTTCCATCCCTGGTCTTGAACATCAATAAGAAAACGCAATCAGACCAA